GCTGCAAAGGGCAGAGACACGCACTGCCGTTCCTTAGCACCAGAGCTGCCTCTGCCCCCTCCCGGCTAAGGCGGTGCTGCAGGGTCCACACGGGGTGTCCTAGAGGATGGGCAGGCTGCTCTGCCCCTTCCCGGCCGAGGGCAGGTGCTGTGCGGCCCGCACGGGGAACCTAGAGGACGGCAAAGTGCTCTGGAGACGCCTCTGCTTCTTGTGAAAAGGCAGCTGGCCTGCCCTGCCTGTGGGCAGCCTGTGGAGGGATCCACACGCAACCTCAGAAGGGCCCGTGGCCCGGGTTTACAGCTGAGGATGCCGTGCAGGCTCTCTCAGGCCCCTCCTCACTCAGGCCCCAAAGTAACCCTTGAAGGCAAAAGTTACAGGCCAGGCTGAGCTCAGCCTCTGCTAACCGCGATGATTAGGAGCCTGAATCGGCGTCTCGCCTTCTTCCGGCCCCAGTTCCTCCTGGAAGCAGGGAGTGTAAGGGGCAAGTTGGGTGGAGGTGACGGGGGACTTGGGTCAGCTCACAGCCGGAGGGAGGCAGGTGCCTGGAGGGGCCTCAGAAGACACAGGGGAGGAGCCGAGCTGCAGGGTCTACTGCAGCCTCTCCCCACTGGCCACCCACAGGGCCTCCCCCGCTCCTTCAGCAGGTGGGATTTAGGCCACGTCAGGTGATGGGAGGAGGGAGATGTCACAGATGAGGGAGCGCTGGACTCCCCTGACCAGTGAAACCATTGAGTCTGTGACGGTTCAATTATGCGTGCACTCAGCCAGGCCACCGCACTGGTGGTTTAATCAAGCTTGAATCCTGAGGCCGCTGTGACGGTGTCTGTGGGTGAGGTTAGCATCGATGACCGTGCCTTTCCGTAGGCAGATCCCCCTCCATCGAGTTGGCTTCACCCATCGGCGGAGGCCACACAGTGAAGTGGAGGTTTCCAAAAGCAAAAGAAACTCTGCCTCAGACGCCAGCTCAGCTCCCGCCACTTTCCCACCAGATGGCCGGGCCTGTCAGTGAGGCCTTGCCACTTAAATCCCTTAGTATAGGTACTATTTAGAAACATATTTATACCAGAGGCCTGGTGCATGGATCGTGCACCGGTGGGGTCCCTCAGCCTGGCCCACGGGGATCAGGCCAAAACCAGCTCTCCGACAACCCCCAAGGGTCCCGGATTATGAGAGGGCAGTTCTTGGGTGACGCACCCTGGAATCAGGCTCCCTCCTCTCTGGTTCCAGATGCATCACCTGAGAACCTCAGCTGCCAAGTCACCGCAGCTCAGCAGCTCCTGCACTGAGCATCTGCCCCTGGTAGTCAGTGCGCATCATAGCTCCTGGTCAGACCATCTGTCCCCTGGTGGTAATTGCATGTCATAGCTACCAATCAGATGGTCGAACGGTCGGACGGATGCTTAGGCTTTTATATATATAGATATTAGGTATACTTACTACATTAACATATATATATATCCCAGAGTTAAGTCCTTGCCCATCATGTGAGACTCAGACCCGCCGGCCCCATCCCCATCAAGCCCTGCAAGGCTGGGGGTGCAGCCTCAAGTTCCCCGGCCCAGTGCTGGGTGGGGGGCACAGCCTCAGGTCCCCCATCAAGCCCTGCTGGGCCGGTGAGTGGGCGCATTCAGACACCAGGAGTCTCTGTACACAGCGTGGGACCTTCGCTTTGCCAGGCGCTGTAAGAAATGCCCAAAGGAAACAGGTGGACAGGA